CCCTCCCCCTCTATCAGAATATTACATACATTTAGGTTGCGTTTGTTTTTTAAGAGGTGCTAAAGTCTAAATCTAGTTTCACTTCTGATTTATAAAAGGTGAAGTTGAAATCTGAATCAATAAAATTGTTTGTTTCTACGTCTGAAATTTGAATCGGTTAAAATAATGAAAAAAATATAAAAGATAAATAGTTTTTTACAAAAGTATAAAAGATAATAGTCTTTGCTAACAAATCTCTTCCAAACTCCAGAATATCAACCATTTGATAGAGAACGGAATTGTATTAAGAAGTATTAAGGGATATACATTCACCACTTAAAATTCCAGAGGACATTTAGAGTTTTTAAGCTCTTATTCTAAAAATAAAACAAACGCTCTTAATATCCAAATGTCTAAACGAATCATACTTCAAAGATATTAAGAGATAATTTTGAAAAAACATACAAACCCTTAATAAAATATTATTTACCTCCTAAAAATTTAACTTAAAGGTTTCTTGTTGGTATGAATTAATTAAAAAAAAAGTATTTCTCATGATAATCATTTTTCAAAATTTTGAGAATTTCACTCCCATGAAAGTTCTAAAAATTCCGTTGGAGCAAAAATTTTGCTCAAAATCTCCACTTTTTTGGAGATACTCAAACCCTAAAACCTTCCGCAAAATTTCCCCCCATCTACCTCGTATTCGTTCCTCGAACCATGTCAAGTCCCGTCTGTTTACCAAACAGTGAATTAAACACGAGGGAATGCGATATATTCATGATCATGGCTATGTGTTTTGATTAACATCACTTGCTTGTGTCTGTGGGTTCATCATGATCAAGCGACTTGTTAACACCCGCACATTCGACTTTGTAAGCACATTTCATACCGTCAAGTCAAACCATACGAACTCAGTATATTTCACCGAGTCTGGGAAAGATAGGAAGTATGCAGCCACAAAAAAAAAAAGCTTAATTAGGTCTCCTAACTTGCACATGCAACATTGGCAGATCCAGGAAATTAATAGAGTGGGGGCACGTTGGATGAGACTTGGGGGAGGCAAGCATATGGCCATATGGAAGGGGAAACCATGTAAGACGAGGGTAAAAATAGAAAATTTAAGCTAGTCAACAAACGTTTTTTATCTTTGACTGGGGGCTTTCCCCTGGTCCTTAAGGGCTAGATCCGCCCCTGCGGATGCAGAACACTGGCCCAGCCACTAGAATAATTCATTCAGCAAGGAGAACTCGAGATTTCACATATTCAGGTTTCATTATATCATAGATGACCGTTCAAGAAAAGATGGTACCTCTTTGGCATATAAAATATATTATATAACCGTTGGTGAGACTTGAACCCTTACCTCCAGGGAGGTTCGGATCCAACGGTGACCTGGATACCATTCAGTCAATGACCCCTTGTTGGCATCTAAATACTTGTTAACGATCTCTCCTACTTTCTTTGTAGTTCGACAGCATTAGCATAGTAATCTTTAGGTCGTGCCTCAAATTATATCAAAAGAACTCACCTATATATGCTTAGTCACTGAAAAATACCCAAATATGAAGTTATAGCAGTCACCAAAAGGCTCGGAAAACCCAAACTAGAACTTTGAATAACCAAGTATAAACTCATACAATTCTAACAACTAAAAGTTTCTTATGACCATCATCATTTGATCTATGCACCGAGTTATATACCAATTCATAGCACAAATTTAGCTTTTGCTAGTGTACAAAGGCTTAGATAAGTTGAAAGGGGCTTGGATGACAACCTAAAATATCGTAGTTACCGATTACAGATTTGCCATTTCAAAAAGAAGAAAAAAATGAATGCAAGTATGCAACAACAAAACTATAATGTAAAAGGCAAATAAGTGATCAAAGATCAAATGTTAAATTTAAACGCAGGTTATAATAAATTCTAAGACCAAAGTCACCAAGTAATAACATATGTTTTATATATATATATATATATATATATATATATACAAGTAATAACATATGTTATATATATATATAGAGAGAGAGAGAGATACACATATACATATACATATATATATATAGAGAGAGGGGGGGGGGAGGTTCAGAAAACCCCTAGAAAAATGAAAAACCGAGGAACAGTTGACCATTTCTCTGTACGATATGCACATGTACATACAAGTAACTGAAGCACTTTATTGGTCCTATGCACGTTATGTGCATACAATCCGAATGGTTACCAGGCTGCTCCTCAATTTTTCATTTTTTTTTTGTGGTTTTCAACTAAATCTGACCGTGTATATATATTCAATTCATACCAACGGAAATTACATAACCAGCTGAATCTCAGACAGTAGCATGTAGCATCATCTATGAACTCCAATACAATATGCATATATCTTGTTCAAGGCCATAACAACGTATGCAAAGGTTTCGAGCAGCAGAAAAGTAAGAAACAACACATAAGATAATCCAGTCAAATTTACATATTCAATTCGAAACTGCAGATAGTGTGACATAATCGAAACGAATAACTATAATCCATGGAAAGTTTTCAGTTACCCACGGGCTTTAAGATCTGCAAGGCGCCTAGAGAGGTCATCCTCCTCAACCTTCTCGGTATTTTTGGTTGGTACTGCGTGTCCAGCAGGTTGTGGCAATCCCACAGACACCTCCAGACCATAATCATCCGCCACTTGCTGCATCAAGTTGTTGACTTCTCCTTCAGGAGTCGAAAGAGAAGTGCTTCCAGCCATGGAACTCTCCATGAACTCCGCCTGCACCTCCATATTTACAAACTGGCGCTCAAATTGATCCATTGTCTCAGACATCTTCTGCAAGTTACCCGTAGCTAGGGTTGACTCAAGAGACTTAACGATCGATCCCATAGACTTGCTGATCGTCGTCATCTTCGCCTGTGTATCGAGCCGTGCCACGACCGCATCGAGACGTGAAGATAAACGTAGGTAATTCATCTGTTCGCTACGTTTACGGATCGCGTTTTCAGCATAGATTCTTGCTCCATCCATATTACCTTTCTCGATCGCCTTCTTCACTTTAAGTTTCTCGGATTTCTCATCTTTCTCGCACTTCCTTGCCTGCCGTTGCAGGCTCTTGGCGGTGAACTTGAGCTCCATGATTTGGTTCATCAATTTCTCGGCTTGCCCCATAATTGCTGCAAATCTGTTGAGAACTTGAAAGAAGTTGATGAACGAATTCTTTAACTCGAATCGATCGTTGAATCGTATGTGATAATTGCTGGAATTTGAGCTAGGGTTTGAACTTTTCTTCGACTCTAGATTTGGGGGTTTTGCTTTTTGTTGAAGACGAGAACGCGTACGATATAATGTGTGGATCATGACCGTTGCTTTGTGGGTCCTTATATCACACGCTCTGATCCGTGTGGAATATTTACAAATTTAGTCCTTATAGTATTTTACATTATGCAAATTTAGTTCAAACGTTGTAATTGTTTTAATTGAAGTTTTGAATAGTCAAATTTATAAAGTTTTGGTACGTAATTTAAACATCGTTAATTTTTAGGGGTGTTAATTGTAAATGTGTTGTTTTATTCTTCAACCACAACTCTCCACCACGATCAAAAATAAAGTACGGGGCAAATTGCATTATTGTAACTTATTCTTCTTTTAGGTAATATATTTTTAAAACTTTTATTTTGATATCTAAAATATAAAGTGTTAAATATAAAAATATTTGCATAACTTGTTGAAACATTAACTGGTTATCATGCTGATGTAGTATCCAACTCAGTATTATATGCTGACGTGGTTAGTGTGACATGGATTGTTTTTAATCTAAAATTAGTTTTCAACCGGTTATCTAGGTACTTAAATGTTTAAAACTTTACATCTTAAATACCAAAATGAAAGTTTTGAAAGTACGTTACCCAAAATATGAATCAGTTCTGGTAAGTAGACCAAATAAAACAATGCAAGCAAAAGTTCCTAGATTCAATATGGGGTGAAGGAAAAGACCGACCCCTTTGGTGACTTTTGCAAGATTGAGTGTACTTTATTAATAGTATGAAGGCTGAAAGTTAAAGTACATTATTTTTTCATGCAATTTGCCCAAAAATATAAAGTGAAAACAGTTATTCAAGGAACCTTTTAATAACAAAAGTGACAACCTTTTAATTAAATAAGGACGCGTTGGAATAAATGTTATCGTATTTTCATGTCTATTATTTTGTCTTTCCTGTTCTTGATTCACTTGCAACATATAAACATTTTTATGCTCGATTTTGTTTCTTTTGGTTTCTCAAATTTTACTTTTATTGGTTTCTATTAATTCGAAATATACATACACACACATATATATATATATATAGGAGCGATCAAATAAAAATCACTCCAATTTGTAAAAACGATTCTCATCCGTCGTAATCTTATGAATTTTTTTCATGAAATTGTTTAATCTTGTGAAATTGTTTCATATAATACTTTTTTTGATGAAATTGTTTCATATATGGTTATGAAATTGTTTCATATACTACTTAATGAAATTTTAATGAAACTGTTTCATGTATTTCTCTAAAATTAAAATAATCAAGATGATAATATCCATGATTAACATTCTCTACAATAAAAATGATTAATCAATCTCTTATAATTACAAAAATATGAACAAAATGAAAAATTATGATCGGTGGAATGAGGTTTTTACGGTTTTTACAAATTGAGTGGTTTTCATTTGATCGTTCCCCTATATATATATATATATATATAGATGGTGATTTTGCCCGATTCGATGGAAAACTTGGCTCACCTGACCTGAACAGGGCCAAAGATTCCCCAATAAAATGGGTCACGGAATCGGGGATTCCCAGTAGACTCAAACCAAGGTTGGGGCCAAAGCCGAGTATTGTACCCTCCAACCCGTCCCATACCCGGTATACTAATATTCATTTAATAAATATTTGGGCTTTGGAAGTTCTGATAGTGAGCCTCTATTGCTCTTGGACTTCAAGAGTATTTGTATTAGGAAACGTGGGACTGGACATGGTCGGGGAACGGGTCTTGAGCCGGGGAACTGGGACCAAGGTTTGATCGAGGTTTAACTAGGTTTTGACTGGAGACGGGATGTTAATCCTCGTACCTACCAGGGACCGAGGCTGGAAGCTGTTACTAAAAAGCAGGGTCGGGGATTACAAAACACGCCCCATTTGCTAATACTGATTCGAGTATATATATGATATAATATAATGAGATGTAAACTTTTGAGTGTAAACCGATAATGGTAGATCAATATAAATATTCATTAAAAAGCAAATCTATATTTAAAAAGTATCATGTTATATTAATAAGTTTAGCGTTTACTGTATATTTAAACGTATTTATTAGTTAATTTTATGAAGTTCAGATATAAAATCAATAATCTTGGAATATACAATAATAAATTGTTTCGGAAAGTCTTTACTAAATGTTTTATATATAGTAATATTAGATTATTATATTAAAAAGTCGTCAAATATTACCAAAAGGCCTTTTACCTAGTGGTATGCGAGTCTTTGATCTCATAAGAGGTCAATGGTTCAAACCTCACAACATATGAGGAGGCGTAGTGATTGAGGCCATAAGGGTAATATTAGCTAATATTACTAATTAGCTGACTTATTAGCTAGTTAACCATAAGGGTTGTGGCATAGTGATTGAGGCCTTAGGGCTGCATTTGGTACATGGGACAAAACTCACTGTCCTACGTTTGGCACGACATTGGATAGGATTGTTTCACGTTTGGTACAACATGGAACATGGACAAGAACTGAGACCGGGTGGGAAGTGTATGACAAAGAAGGTTTTTTTTTTCTTGTTCCACCAAAATAGGTGAAACAAGAATGAAAGAGAAACTGAAATATTACTAATTAACCATCGTTTGATATATAACCTTAACATGATATTTGTTTTAGTGGTCACCACCGATATTTACGAACGACGCCACCACCGGTAGCCACCATCGGCCACCATCTCCACAACCACCATCGATAACCTACCACCATCGTCTATTACCACCTTCACAACCACCATTGGTTGCTGACCACACCATCCATTGCGAGTACCACTGGTGGCCACTTTCACCTTTTTTTTTCTACTACAGCAACCTCTTCTACCACCTTCACAACAGTCATTGCCCACCGACCAACATCGTTCATCACCACCATGGACCACCTCGCCTCCACCATAATCATCACCATCGGCTATCGCTACCGCTGCCCACTACCACCACCACCGGCTACCGCTACCGTTGCCCACCATCCACCACCACCACCACCGGCTACCGTTGCCCACCACACCGGCTACCGCTATCGTTGCCCACCACCCACCACCACCACCGGTTACCGCAACCGCTACCCACCACCACCGGCTGCCGTTGCCCATCACCACTGGCTACCGCTACCGTTGCCCACCACCCACCATAACCACCACCACTAGCTACCGTTACCGCTGCCCAACACCACCACCGGCTACCGCTATCGTTATCTACCATATTGACGTCTTTCACAACCACCACCGTCCATTTCCACTATCACTAGCATCGTCGGCCACTACCTCCTCCACCATATCCATCACCACTGCCCACCATTACACCTACCTCACCCACATAGGCCACAAGCTACTTCCTCCACCATTGTCGACCACCACCACCAATATCCACCATCTTCACGTTTTCTACAACCCCCATCGTCCCCCAATTACCAATGTACCTCCACAACCATTATTGTTGCAACAATTTTCTCCGTGCCTTCACCAATTGATAAAGAATCTTACAAACCGAATAAAACATAATTTCTCATTTGTATGAATCTGTTTTTTTTAACCACCATCAACTATGTAAAAAAATTCATTCAAATTTGGTACTTTTTTATATTTATTTATATAAAAATTGTATAAAAACGTTCATAAATTAAATTATTTTTTTATTTGTGTTAACTATAACTATTATATAATATATAAAATAACTTTTTGGGGCAACTTGTATAGTTTTGTCATGTCCAGTTCTAGTCGTACTAAACATCAGACAAACACTTGTTCTGTCCAGTCCCGTCCTTAATCATGTTTGCATACCAAATGTTACCTGAAATATGGCAAAACATCTCATTTGTTCAGGATTCGATTTCGTGACCACTAAACATAATTTTTTGGGCAAAAGGAAATATTTAGGGGGTGTTTGGGATTGCTTATTTTAGGTGTTTTTTTTTACTTATTTCAGTCTGGCACCGGTGATAAGCTAAATGCTAGTGTTTGGATGAGAAAAAATAAAACTGCTTATACCGGTGCCAAACCGGTAATAAGCAGTTTTTGATAAGTTAATATTTTATGACTTATGAAAAACTGTTTATTACCAGTTTACCATTTTAACCATATTTTATTAATTATTAATCTTATTGATATAAATTTTTGTCAAATAAATTATTATAAATGATGAAAAATAAATTTTTACATGTTAAAAAATCAAACAAGTCAATAATATGAAGACCGTCCTTTTTAGTCATTTTACATATATATAATAAAAATTTGCCAAACACTAAAAAACAACTTATCAACTTATTTTTTTTGGTATCGCTATAAGCTAATCCAAACACTTTTTACAAAACTCCAATTTAATACCACACTAGTTGTGTACCCGCGCAATGCGGCAGGAGCCATGAATTTTAACGATTTTGAAGTTCCACTAGTTTTATAAGATAAGATTTAACAATGATATATGCTACACTTGATGTTTACATATTAATACAATTTGAATAAATAAGAGTTATGGTTCCAATTACAGACTATCGATGAAAAAAATTGTATGACAGTTTAAAATCCAATATATTTAAAATCCAACATATTTAAACGACTCCACAAATGTATTCGATTTACACAAAGAACAAAGAACCAAAAAACTTGAGTTTTAAGATAAACACTCAAAACCAATAAAGAAAACTACAAATTTGACAGATCATAAGCCATGAAAAGACAAAAAAAAGTTGGGTTTTAGAATGAAATTCCCAACTGCTTACCATCTTTCTTGTCCAGAAACTCAGATTAAGGTTGAATTAATACATGTATATATATATATTTCAAAAAAACCCAAGAACATATTAATTCAAAACATATTATACAGTGCAATTTGAACAGCATAACCCCAAAATATATAATATATATATAAATAAATAAATAAATATAAAAGTATAAATCGTAAATATTAAAAATATTTTTTCACAGTATATATAATATATAATAATATAATTAAGTAAAAAAACTACTCAATATTGAACTCATTTCGAAGGTATTAACGAGACGATTATAATGGTGTAACTTGTTAAAATAAAAATGTATTTTTTAAACATATTTTAATTGATATACGATTATGTATGTTACTTTGATAAAAGTTTAAAATAAAACATTTAAAAGTAAATGACATAAAATAAATAAATAAATTAATTATAGGGATATAAAATATAAATTTAAAATTATAATTTAAAAAAATCGGTTATGAAAGCGTGAATGTATGTAAGGAGATGAGAGAATGAAAAAGTGAGTATAAAAAGTATTTTGGTCGTTTAAAATTTTAAAACTTAAGACTTTTGTTAAATTTTAATAAGATGATATAGATAAGTTAATAAACACTTTTAAAATAATAATAAAAATATAAGTTGTTTTAAACAATCCCCAGCAATCGGTTTCAAAATTCAAAATTTTGTTCGAATAAATGGACTTCCCTCGGAAAATCAGTCAGCCTGCGCCGGTGATCAATCCTCCATAGTTTCCGAGCACCGGTCGTCTATTCCGGCGAAGAATAAAGTCATTTTGAGCAGAACGAATGTTTCCAAGTGATCTTCTCTCTCCGATACAAAATACAAAGGCATGATGTTGTGACCGATGGATGCACATTGATCGGGGTGCGGCTTTTGTCGTTTAGCTGAATTCATGATAACTTCCTCTTTGAGTTCATCTTCATCGAGTACACGTCGGCATCGATGGAGTCATACGACGACGCCACGTGGCTAACATGCGCCATCACACCCATACGTATCGATTTCACAGACACCTGTGTCTGATTTTGTCTAATTCTCTTTCTCCAATTCGAATCCCCATTCTATTGCGAAGACAAACCCTTTAAATCAGCCCACATTTCGATTCCCAATTCCCGAAAACCCCTAAATATGAAATACTCGGCATGATTACAACGGATGATTCCGGCGATATCGCGTTGAATTTCTTAAAATATTTTTCTTACAGGGGTTCGGTATTTGTTTGAATTCGTCTTTTGATTCACAACATAACAAACATCGAGGTTAGATTTTTAGGTATTCGTTGAAGAAATTTGGAAATGGATGAAATAAAGGAGGTACACACCCCTTATGAGATGGGGGTGGTTGTTCCTAAGAAGGTAAGTGATCAAATTGGGGAAGGCTATGGCCATGATTGTGTTGAAGTTCTTGTGGCTCAATTTCACAGGGTTGGTCTAATTGTTGATAGAGTTGTTGGTCTTCATGATGAATTCCTCAAGGTTTAGTCTTCCACTCCTTTCATGTATTTTTAAGAACATGCATTGTTTTCATGGGGATGCATTATGCATATAATTTGTATGTTGCTCATTATGATCAATACTTAGCTGATTCAGCACCTTGCAAGTGTAATGTTACAAAACCCTAGGAGATCCCCATTAATGTATTTCTGCAATTCCTAGCTTATAACTATGGTGGGCTTATGTGGTATTCTTTCTTTCATGGGCTAGCTTGTGGGTTAGCTCAATTTGCAATAGGACTTTGGTCTTATGAAGATCTTGGATTAATCGAGGTGCGAGCAAGTAGGTCCGGACACCCGGTTAAAAAGAAACAAAAAACAAAGAAAAGGAAAAGAAGTATTTTAGTTTCTTTTTAACCTTTTGTCCCCTTGTATTTGACTGGGAATTCATGGCTAATGTTGAATAATTGATTGGTTCATAATTTTTCTCTCCAGTTATTAGCACCTGTGGAAATCTTAGGGAAGGCAGCAGCTGAGTTACAATTGAAGAAAAGAACTCATATAGGTAAAGATACAATGATTATGCTTCGCTTTCTTTGCCCGTGTTCCTTCCTTGCCCTCCTGATCTCCAACAGATTGTCTAAAATGGAGAAGGAAAGATTTTAGAGTTTTTAACCTAAATTTTTGGCAACAGATCCTTCAAAATGTGGAGAAAGTTGGATAGAGAGGATAAGAATCTCCAAATTCTGAGAACTCTTTGAAGTTAAATGCCGGAGAGAGAATTGTTTTTTATTGTTGTTACCAATGAAGTTGAATGCATCAACATTTCATGTAAAATTTACTGGAATATGAGAGTATCTCCAACAGATTCTCTAAAATAGAGAAAATGGAGTTTTTGTTCACTATAGGGATCCAACATATCTCTATCTTGTTCTCTAATATAGGAAACTTCAAATATAGAGAATTCTCTAAAACTTCCACCAGAGAGAAATGAGTTTTTTTTTCATTCCACCAATGAGATTGAATCAATATAATTTTATATGCAATTTTTTTTAAAGTGTATTGGTATCATAAAATTATAGAGGATTTAAATAATATATAATTAATGATGAAATCCTTGAAATAGAAAATTTGTAGGAGTATAATCTAATTTATCTTAGAGATTATGACTTTTGGTTCTTTATTTTAGAAAAATTATAGAGAATCTGGAAATGTTCTTAATTCTATAAATTTGGAGAACTTCCAAAAAACCTAATACAAGAGAAATATTTTTATTATATTCCCACCTATAAGAAACTATGAAATTAAATATTTAGGAGAGAGATATAATATTTTATTAAATGTATGAAATATTTTAATAATATAACCAATGTTATAATCACCATTTAGCTGTTGGAGTTGGAGGTAATCATTTTTTAAGAGATTTTGAATTTTAATTCTTGATTTTAAAGAAATTTTGGAGAATCAGTTGGAGATGCTCTTATTGGGCTCGGCCATGTGTTGCCTATGATACTTTCTGAACATGTAGTGTTGTTGCAGGGGTGGATATACAATTTGAATGGGATGAGGCCGAGGCTTTTATCAGACAAGCCGATGGTTCATTCTTCAGTTGGTGTGAGCGTTTCCGTTGCTACAATCACATGATATACGGAATTGTGAGTTATACACACACTTTCTCCAAGCATTCCCAATAACTATAGTCATAAACATCAACAATTAGGAGCATGAACCTTCTAAATTCACACTTAGCTCAATGATGTTCTCTGACCTGCCCCTTGTGCAACAAAACCTTCCGCTCCAGCAGGGGCGGACCCATTTCATTGAATACGGTGGCACGGGCCACCACTTCGTTCCTCCGTCGTAGTGTAAAAAATATAGGTTGTGAAAGGTGCCACCGTATCATTCTTTTTGTGTGCAACTATATATATTTTGAAACTACAATGATGACACAAGTCTCCCTTGGTAGAGTTGGCTTGTGATGTTTTTCACCTACCCTAGGCGTGGGTTCGAATCCCTTTTGTATCATTTTCTAAGTTTTCAGCCTTCAATCTCAAATTTATTCTGTTTCTGAAATTTTTTGCAATAAAAGACTAGAACACAGGATCTCACATACAAAAAGCAGGGAACAAACCAATGATGATTTGTGAAAATATCCATATCTTCATTTTTTATAGTCAAATGGTGTCACCACTCAAAAAAAATTATGGGTCTGCCTCTGTGCTCCATTAAAAACTTAAAAAGTACACTAGAGGGTCATTTTGCAAAACCAGCTTCTGGAGAAAGATCACCATCAACATAACGTAACTCCAATTATTGTCTACCCGTACAGGTAGGCATAAAAAGTTTATTCCCTTTATGAAACAAAATATTTTGAATACTACAACAAAACAGAGTTTGTGAACCTGAAAGTAGTGTAGAAAATACATAAAAAAGCCTCCCCAAGAGCTAACCTTAGAGTTTGATGTCTCAAATCTCCATTGACTACCATTTCTAATCAATCTGTCCATCTCTCTTTTACGTTGACCTCTTCTATTAATAGTATTTGATGGTCATTCTTGATGCAACTGATTGGATTACATGATTGGAAAGGTTTTTATTTGGGAGAGTTTTTCATAGATGGAAGGAGCATGTTCTTTAATTGCAAGAGATAGGCTTGGAATAAACTTGGCTTTCTGCATAAAGCTTCTCCCTAAAAGCTTGCTAAATAAGCCACTTTCTATATCATTAAGCTACTACCAAATAGTCATGTATAGCTGACAGAATAAGCTGTGACTCCCATTAAGTTCATTAAGCTGGTAACAAACAGGCCCTTAGTCAGTCTGTAAACATCCTTCATTTGCTCCTTTGTCCTTTTCTGATACGAATCTATATATGCTTTACCTGTAGGCTATATAGCTTTTCTCAGGTTTTCTAAGTTCTCTCTATTGGCTAGGTTGTATTTTATATATATCTCCATCATCCACTTCTTCAATGACATTGCTTTTTTCTGCATTTGTGGCCTTTCATATTGCTTCGTCCCACCACCAATGGTTCTTGGCTTGATGTTTTTCACTTTCTCTAAGACCTTATTTGGTTGGTTTTCTATTAAGTCCTGTATGGATAAAGCTGTTTATGTGTATAATTTGTCTGTATAGATTGAAAAGAATTTTGTTGGGGAGGGGTTTTTCGTAGATGGCAGTAGCGTTTTTTTTAATTGGGCGGGACAGGTTTAAAAAATCTTGGCTTTCTGCATAAAGCTCCCCCCTAGAAGCATACTAAATAAGCCCACTTCCTGTATCATTAAGCCACTACCAAACAGCCATGTATAGCTGACCGCATAAGCCGAGTCCCATTAAGCCTATTAAGCTGCTAACAAACAAACCCTTCCTAATAGTTTTTTTTGAGCTTCCATACCTTTTTGACACTTATCCCAAGGTCTTCATTAAAAATAGCCACTCTGGCGCTCTGGTCTTTGATGTAGAGGACAAGACTATGTACGTCTCACCCTGCCCCACCCCATCTTCAAGAGATTTACTGGGATGGTTTGATTTGCTTTGGTTTAGCCTGTTTATTTTTCAAACCGTTGCTCAAACATAGATCCAAATCTTAAAAAAACCGGAGTGTGTGAAACTTGCATACTCTAGATATCTTTTTGTTAATCAATGGAAATCGAGTAACCAACAAATGAAAACTCAGCTTTAAGCAATGAATCTAATGAATATTTGACAGTCATTACCTGTGGAGCGACACCCGTCTTTTCTTTTCTTGTATTCTAGAAGTCACTGCTGTCTACTGAAATAATACGCTGAAATGAACAGGTTAACAAGAGCGAGTCAGCTATCATATTGAAATCCAACTGCAGGGACGTTAGATGGGAGCCTGGGGAAAGTCTGGTGTGGAAGTTGGAAACAGAAGCCATTGTTAAAGAAGTATTTCCTCTCCATGGTATGACGCCTTTAGTTTCATGCATATGGTATCCATGGTAACCTAAGGGGCCGTTTGGTTGGTTTTCCGTTAATTCCTGTATGGATAAGTTTCCTGTGTGGATTAATCTGTTTATATAGATTGAGAAGGTTTTTGTTTGGGAGAGTTTTTTCATACATGGAAGGAGCATGCTTTTTGTTTTTTTGGAAAGAGAGCCTGTATTTTAAATTGAGGGGTAGGTTTTGGAAAAAATTTGGCTTTCTGTATAAAGCTCCCCCCTAAAAGCTTACTGAATAAGTCACTTTCTAAATCATTAAGCACTACCAAACAGTCATGCGTAGCTGCCAAATAAGTTGCGAGTCCCATTAAGCTCATTAAGCTGCTAATAAACAGACCCTATTTCACAAGTGATTAAGTGGTATGAATTTTGTTTGATAGACGAGATAAAAAGAAAGCAGCTTCTGAAATGTTGGGCACTGAATTGGTGGGACCTTACAAATCAGCCTATTGATGAGATCTATGCTTACTATGGAACAAAGGTAAATAGTGAATTGATGCTTATATTAATTGCGGGTTGTATTCATATCTGAATTTGCAATCGAACTGTAGATTGCAACATATTTTGCTTTCCTTGGAATGTACACGAAGTGGTTGTTTTTTCCGGCTGCGTTTGGGCTTCTCTTGCAACTGGTTGATTTTGGGTAAGTCGCTTTCTTTGTTGGATTTCATCGGTTGCCGAAAATCAGCTGAATCTTATTTTATTCTTTATTTGCTTATTTTTCTTTCCAGATCTTTGCAGTTATTGGTGATTCCCTTTTTCTTTATATGCATAATTTCATGGGCAGTCCTTTTTTTCCAATTCTGGAAGCGGAAAAACTCCACCCTTTTGGCCAGGTACTTTATGCGATCTTTCTGAGCTTTCGATATTAAGTTTATATGTTCTGAATCTTTGGACACCTGGCATTAGTTGATGCGATGACCTCTAACTCCCGTACTCTAGGTGGCAAATTAGTTATTCGGTCGGAGCTGAGTCTGCTTATAAATATATGGATATGGAGTGGAGTTCCTTCCACTCGTCTGTAGGATTAGTCAAAAAATGGGGTGACGGTAAAGCCGAGGATAAAGAGAACTTCCAAAGAGAAGAATGGTCTGGTCGTATGATGCGATTCAGAAACGACGCTATCATTATCTTGAGTATCATATGTCTCCAGCTTCCATTTGAATTAGCTTATGCACATCTGTATGAGAGCATCCGTTCTGATATCATGAAGTAAGCATCTTATTTATGTTCTTTTCTTTTTTTCCCTGGCTTTTTAGGGCGTTTGGTACGGGGAAACGTGTAAGGGTCTATTTGTTAGCAGCTTAATGAGGCTCGCAACTTACTCGGTCAGCTATATATGGCTGTTTGGTAATGGCTTAATAATATAGAAAGTGGCTTGTTCAGTAAGCTTCTAGGGGGGAGTTTTACGCAGAAAGCCAATTTTTTTTCAAACCTACCCCTCCCAATTAAAAAACATGTTCCTTTCATCCATGAAAAAACTCTTAAACAAAACTTCCCCGATATATTCAGAAAGATTAATCCACACAGACAACTTTATCTATACAAGACTTAATGGAAAACCAACCAAACAGCCCCTAAGACTAGGACTGGGTAGGACTGAGCAGGAAAGAATGCACTTTTATTCTTGTCCCATCAAAATAGGTGGAACAAAAGTCAGGGAGATGGGACTAGTTTGGTAAATTACTAAACTACCCTTGTCAAATTGGAACCCTGAAGTCTTATGCAATTCTTTCACCTGCTTGCCTCCCTCTCGCTTGTCCAGTATTGTTCGCGTACCAATCCCACCCTCAAGGATTAAAACCTACTCATTTGTTGATGTTCTGTATATTAGAAACCAATTTCTATTTTCAGGTTTGGGCTGACGGCAATATACCTTTTTGCCATTCAGTATTTTACACAATTTGGTGGGAAGGTGTCGGTGAAGCTAATCAAGGATGAACAGAATGAGAACTCTGAATACAGAGCTAACAGCTTGGTCTATAAGGTCCGAAAGCTTCATATTCTTGCTAGTTCAGAGATTTATGAAAATACTATATATATAGGGGTCTGTTTCAGGGGAAAACCGCAAAAAAATGAAAAACTGAGGAACACCCTGGTAACTGTTCATCTGGACAGTGTGCACATGTGCATACAAGAAATTTGTAAGCAATTTGTATGGTATGCACATGTGTATAACATGTACATGTGCATAAAAACTAAGAAACAACTTTAATTACTTGTATGTATATGTGCATACAGTCCATATGGAATGGTTACCAGTGTTTTCCTCGGCTTTCCATTTTTTGGGGGATTTTCCTTGAACCTCCCTCTCAGTCTCTCTCCCTCTATATATAAATTCCGATCTTCCCATGCAGGTGTTTGGTCTGTACTTTATGCAGTCTTACATCGGAATCCTTTATCATGCAATTCTGCATCGCAACTTCATGACTCTTCGTCAAGTGATAATTCAACGTTTAATCATATCAGAGGTAGTGAAAGTTTTCTTTATGATCTTTAAAAACTTAAGGGGTTGTTTACTCTTACCGGTTCTAACCTGGTAAGCAGGATTTTTGCCGAGTGGGAGCACCTCTAAGGTGGATCAAAGGCTCCCAAAGTCGCCCAATGTGTTTTTAGCCTATTTCCACGGTTTTTAGGGATTTTTTAAGTTCCTCGGTTCATTTAGAGACGCTATTCCGGTTTTTTGGATGACGTCCCTTGTATTTTCTAATGTTTCAGAGCACCCTTCAAAGTTTAGCATGTGCACCTTTCACACCTCAACAAAACTTTCTACTTGCAAAATCGGTTTAGCGGGTGCACAGGACCTTGTGGGGCCTCTGTAGGTCCGCCACTGCCGGTAAAAAGTGATGTTGTTTACCAACACACTCCAATACATAAATATGCTGACTCGGTCAGTGCTTCAATCAGTGCTTACTCAGACACTTGGTAAACAACCATTTTCAGTCGGCGCCTACCTAGACCGAACCTCTTACTCAAACCACACTTTTACTCGGTTAGCATTTACCTAATTTGTGTCGGTAAACGGCCCCTTAGAACTAGTTGTACTTGTTCTCATAATGTCCTCCAGGTGCTTGAAAATCTGATGGAGAATTCTCTACCCTACATCAAATACAGCTATAGGAAATACCGAGCTGTTCGGTAGGTTTCTTTGCCCGTCGTCTTTTTTTTTAGCCCCGTAATTTGTAGTGTAGCTAATTGCTGCTGCTTTGTCATCCGTGAAGTAACAAGAGAAAACGGGAGAAGGGACCATCAGGGAGAAAATCTTACTTCAATTCTAGGGTCGAGAAGGAATACTTTAAGCCTATGTATTCTGCTAGTGTTGGCGAAGAACTCGAAGATGGGCTTTTTGATGGTAATATATTCGAACCTGAAAGTAAATATTACGCATTTCTCTTCTCTCCCAGGATCGTCGATGATGAAAAGCTCGTGTGCAGAGTTTCTGGAGTTGGCGTTGCAATTTGGAATGATTATGATGTTTGCTTGTGCATTCCCTCCCGCATTTGCTTTTGCTGCATTGGTAAAAATCGAAACTTTATTCTTCTTTTTTCTTTTCCCCGACTGATCGTGGCTTTTAGCTCGCGGGATCCCTTCGTTTGTTAGAGCATCTTCAACGGTTTCTTCATAATTCCTCCAAAATGGAGAAAGAAATGTCGGAAATCTTTCCGAGAAAACAAATTGCATCTGACTCCCAACAATTTATTAATTATATTATTAAAATATTCAATACATATTCCAAGGTGGAACCACATAGCAGCATACGGTGGCATGGGACACCGCTTCATGGTTCCGTCGTAATGAAAAAATATTACGTTTCTGAAGGGTGCCACCATATTGTTTTCTTCAGTGCCCTTATATTTATGAAACTGATCTTTGGGCACAACGGCCGAAGTCTTTAATGGCGGAGTTGGTAGCTGTTGTTGCCTTTGTATAAAAGGCTCAGGTTCGAGTCCCACTTTTATCAAATTTCTTAGGTCCCTTTTGGTTTGCAGGAATGGAATGGATTTGGGGGATTTGAATTTCAATCCATTCCAATCCCATGTTTGGGTTTGTTGGATTGTCCAGATTTGAAATCCTACAAACATAGGATTTTGAAAACCTTGGGGAGTGCTCAGGATTTCACGGTATTTCGTAGGATTCGTAGGATTGTATGAAGTAAAGTTTTAAAAAATGTCAAAAACATTTGTTTTATAAGAATAATTTAATTATTTTTATAATTTTGTATAATTTTTTTATAAATTATTTATAAATAATGGAATCCAATTCCATCCCAAATTCTACACCAATTATTTTAAATCCATTCCAATCCAAATCCCTCAATGAAATCCAAATCTCTCGTAAACAATCCTGCAAACCAAACGGACCCTTAGTTTTCGGCTTAATTTTGGTGTTTCTTTATATACCTCGTGTTTAAGAAAATTGTAGATAGGACTCAAACACGGGTTCCTTTATAGACAAGGTATCAACTGACAGATCTATACTAATATTCCGAAATTTTTCTATAGATTTATTTATAGTCAAATTGTGCCATTACTTAGAAAAATTCCTGGGTCCATCTTTGATGTATTCAAACAAACTTCCAAAAAACTTCCAAAAACACAATAGAATATTTCCCTCTCCACAGGCATTTAAAAATTTGCAGATTTTTACTTTCTCTCTCCTACGTTCTGCATTTTGTAGGATATGTTGGAGAAAAGAACAGGATAAAACTTTAAAAATCTGATTTTTTTTCTTGATTTTGGAGAATCTGTTGGAGATGCTCTTACTCTGTACTCCCGAATTAAAGAAACGATGCTAGACTTGGTTTTTATTGGTAATTTGGTATGATGGAAGCTCTAAGTTTTATATGCTTGTGGCATAAAGAGCAATGTTGCAGAGATTAGAGCAGATGCGTTAAAGATTCTTGCTATGTATAGAAGACCCGTTCCTCGAGTTGCTGCGACGATAGGGGCTTGGCTCAACATATTTCAGGTGTTAATTCTCTTTATACTCGATTGATTTTTTGGGGGGTAACCATGGGTTTCCAGGCCATCTTACGTGGCCATAAATGGCCCGGAGCCATCGCAAGTGAACCTCTATGATCACAAGGGTTTTGGTGTTGCCTATGCAAGATCCCACATTGGTCGGGGAGGGGAATGAAAGTTGCCTTATAAGATATCGAATACCTCCTCTACCAGACGCTTTTTAAAACCATGAGTCCAAGTCCGGACAATATCTGGTATGTTGGCCTGGGATGTTGTAAATGGTATCAGAGCTGGGAACTGGACTAGTGTGCTAGCGAGTCCTTGTCGGGCTTTCAGGGGGGATTGTAAGATTCCACATTGGTTGGGGAGGGGAATGAAAGTTTTCTTATAAGGAACCAGATACTATTAGACATGTCTTAAGACTATGAGTCTAGGTATGGACAAAGCGAACAATATCTGGTAGGGAAATTGCTCAAGATAGCCATTTCAGCCTTATACATTTACCTCTTAGCCATTTCTCTCTCAAAATTTCCAAAATGTCACTACCTCCGCAGTTAGCAACCCTTCAACTTGTGGAGGAGTCGAAGTGTAAAAAAAGAGGAAGTTTCTGAACATGGTCCAAAAGTACAGGACATAGAAATGGCTATTTTGAGCAATTTCCCTACCTGATATGCTTGGCCTGGGATGTTACAGCCTGGATTCGAACCCGTGCGCCAAAACCCAATTGATTTCTTTCGTTTTGACTATCTTTTTAGACTTTATATGGGAATTTGAAAAGGGTGTGATTTTGGTTTTCAGTTTCTGATTGTGGTATCGATATGCACGAATTGCGTGCTTTTAGCATGTTTGTATGATAGGGAGGGGAAATGGGACATATCTCCTGGTCTTGCAGCCATTCTCATCATGGAACATGTCCTCCTCCTTATCAAGTTTGGCTTCTCAAGGATTGTACCTGAGGTACTTTCATCTCTTTTTGCTTTCTCAAACCTGTTAGAAGGTCATGAATTTAACCAAATGGACCCCTCTTTGCATACGGTTTTCTTGATTCCAATGAGCGATTTAGGATCCTAGAAAACTAAGTTTCGGGTTTTCCATTTTCGGTAGGAACCCGATTGGGTAAAAGCAAACCGGATGAAGAACGCAACTCAAGCACAGAACATGTGTTCTAAACAACTTTTGAGAAACATTTCTGGCGGCAGAGGAGCATTCGTTACAGGTACACAGAAGACTGATTGATTGTTGTACTTAAGACTAGTCTCGTTTTTAGAATTGTGAAATTATCGCGAGTCGTAGCGAGTTTGTAATTAAGAAACCCGTTTTTTCCTGTTAAGGACCGTAGTTGTATAGTATATTGCCTTGCCTTGCCTTGTTCATATCGAACTTCGTGTAATGAATTCTCGAGTGCATTAAGCTAATGATAATGTATACAGAGTTGAATGAAAATCTTGATTGTATTGGATAACAAATTGATCGAGCGCACACACGCGTGCGCGCACACACACACACACACACTATTTTACAAGTATATAATATTTATATACAACGGTGGTGAGGTTTGAACCTTTTACCTCTAGGGACGCTAGGATATACCGACAACCCGGGTACGGTTGGACCAATGTCCCTTTACCCCTCGTGGTTCACATCACCATCTTGGTGATTAACTTGCATTCAGTCATCGATGGAATTGTTCTGTTTTCAAACAGACCCTTTCAGGGTGGCTGATCATTCTGGTTATAAATGATCAGTTAGCCACGTGAGCTGGAGTTGTCTTTGCTGACTTGGCGGGTGGCGAAGTGATCGCTGACTTGGCGGGCATATCTAACAACTGCTTTTGCCCATCTTTGGATTTCGAACTTGAACTTCCTCGAATCGAGTCTTTTGAGGGATTTGATACTTGGGTCGATCGATATCTCCATGAAGGAGAAGCATCTATCGTAGCGTGGCTTCTTTGCCTGAGATACAGTGGTGGTGGTTGGAGATGGTGGAGGTGTCGGGTTTCCGGTGGCAGCGGTGGTGGTGGTTGGAGATGGTGAAAGTGTGGGGTTTCCGGCGGTGGCGGTGGTGATTCCTTCCATTTGGTGAAACTGATGGAGATGGTGGTTTTGAACCAAAGCCGATGGTTATAAAGGGTTGAATTTGCTTGGAGAATACTTGTAAAGATGGAGGAGTTGTTGAAACGTGTAGGTTAAGACGTCATTGACTTTTCAACATATTCCTTCCGGGATTTGACTACACCCGCGATATACAAACCATAAAGGGTCATTTACTGACGTTATTCGGTAAAACGTCAGTAAGCGTTTTACCCGATTAACGGGTAAAAAACCGCTACCTTCACTTGCTTTACCGGCAAGGTTCAAAATGCCGTGAAGGATAACATGGATGGCGGTGAGATCATACCTTAAAGCGTTAACGGAGGACACGATGCTTTAAAAAGCGTGTCATAAGGCGGTAAACATGTATGTCATGTATAGAATTGTAATATCGTATATGTACATATATGATCAAACCTTTTTTAACTGTTACGACAATGATTTATCGGATAAGATTATCGGGATTTGTGATGATGACATAAGATCAATCGGTTGTGAACTTAAAAGACAGCCTCTGAATCGTTTCATTAAATGGTTGTTTTTTATCTCTTAATAGTTTTATTAAGAGACAATCTCTGAGTTGTTAAGAGGTGAATCTAGGTTGCTTCTTAATGGTTCTAAAACCCTTTGAAAGATTTGTATCCTAGGTCTTCCTTAACCATTTAGCGCTCTAATTTTATTGTAAATAATTATCAAATAATTATATTTTATTTTACACTATACCATTCTGATTATTTAATTATTTTGTACCAAACCATTTGATAGCTATGAATCTGGTAAGCTGGAACAAGTCTGGTCAATATACTTTTCAAGTATTCTGAATGCGATGGAACATCTTCTGGAATAATAATAATAATAATAATAATAATAATAATAATAATGTAGGAGAAAAGATGGTGGGACAAGTGTGAATTCCAAATCAAAAGAATACAAATTAAGGATTGTCAAGTGCTAACAACCACTCAAATATATCATTCTAAATCTAACTTATTATTATTTGTTTTGTTGGGTAATTCGGTGTATCTGTCTTGACGGGAATAGGGATTTTCTGTAAAACCAGGAACCGAGGATCCCTAAAAGTTAAAAACCGAAGATAGGACCAGGTAACAACGTGGTCCCTGCCCCATCTTGTGCTGTCTCTTCCTCGAATATTAAATATCTCTCTCTATCCCTCACACACACATATGTATATGTATATGTATATATATATATATATATATATGAAGAGAGAGAGAGAGAAGGTTTACTTTGCTAACCATGTTATTTGTATAAACTGTACAAACCATATTCAACCTATCATAATTTTTCACTTTGTTCATTTTTTTTTGTAAGTATGAGAGGTTGATTAATTATTTTTATTGTGCAGGGTGTAAATCATGGATGTTATTATTTTCATTGTATTAATTTTAGAGAAATGTATGAAACAATTTCATTAAAAATAATAATTATGAAACAATTTCATGAAAAAAATTCATAAAATTAAACAATGAAATCGACGGATAAGGATGGTTTCACGGTTTGTACAAATATCAGTGGTTCGCATTTGATCGCTCATCTTTCTATCTCTCTCTCTCTCTATGTGTAAGGGGCTGTTTGTTTGGCTCTTAATGGTTACATTAAGAGCCAACCTCTTAATCGGTAAGAGGTCTATGTTGTTTGGCAAAAAAAAAGAGGCTCTTAATGGTTACACAACCCCTCTTAACCATTTTGCATATGGGGCTTCTCTAAACCATTCAGAGTCTTCTTTTTCCAATTTTGTCCTCTCTCCCNATCGAAAAAGGGGAGGAAAAAGGATCGAATAGCAAAAACCCTAACATCTCTATTTTCGCCCCTGCTGTTTCTCCATCTCGATTGAGCCCTAACGGTGAAGGTAACACATCGCCGGTCTTCACAGCCCCTCCCCCACCCTCTTGTCGCCGGTCTTCAAATCGCCACCCCCACCCTACGATCGTCGGTCGTCGCCGCTCGTCGCCACCTCTCGTTGCTGCTGCACGTCGCCTCCCTTTTCCAATTTTGTCCTCTCTCCCAAGAACCTCACACGTCGCCCACCCTCTCGTCGCCGGTCTTCAAAGCCCCTCCCCCCACCCTCTTGTCGCCGGTCTGCAAATCGCCACCCCCACCCTACGATCGTCGGTCGTCGCCGCTCGTCGCCACCTCTCGTTGCTGCTGCACGTCGCCTCCCGTCGCCAGTCGCCGCCCGTCACCATTCGCCTCCCGTCGCCAGTCGCCTCCCGCTGCACGTCGCCGCTCCAACCGCTGTTATTTTATGTAGTTTGATGGATATATTTCACACAAATCAAGTGAGAAAATGGAAAAAGGAAAGGTTTACAACAAGCATCCACTAATCAACATCACCCCAGATCAAAAAGAATAGAAATTGAGAGATGAAACCAAGATTTGGAGGGGGGGGGGGGTTAAAATGGTGAAATTTCATGGGTTTAGGCACTGAGGGTTAGAATGGTAATTTACTGTCATTCAGAGAACAGTTACCAAACAACATAATTTCATTCAGCACTTAACCATTCTGGCCCTCTTAATCATTCTAACCACTTAACTATTCTGTACTAAATCATTCAGCAACTGCCAAACATCCCCTAAGGTGACATTTGTTTCTTAAGAGGTACTGAAGTCTGATTCCACTTCTGATTTATAAGAGGTGGTCTGAAGTCTATAATCTGGATCAGTAAGATTGTTTGTTTTAACGTCTGAAATCTGAATCGGTCAAACTAGTGTAAAAATATAAAAGATAAATAGTTTTTTTTACAAAATTATAAAAGATAAATAGTTTTTGTTAACAAATCTCTTTCAACCCCCAAAATATAAACCATTTCATAGAGGACGAATTAAGATTAAGTAGTATTAAGAGATACATTTACCACTTAAAATTTCATAGGACATTTAAAGATTTTGAACTTTTATTTTAGAAATAAAACAAACGCTCTTAATATCTAAACATCTGAACGAATCATATTTCAAAGTTATTAAGAGAAGTTATTTTTAAAAAAAAAACAAACCTTAAATGTTTAGCAGACGGTCTTTTAATTGTATTTTGACTTTTTTGTATTTTCAAAGGTAATGAAATGGGTGCTGACGTGGAAAGAAGGTTACGTATGTCTTTGTTGAAGTTCTTTCATAAAAACACGGATTTTAGGTGAAAAGGTTGGAGTTTTGGTCTAAGGATTGTTACTGTACCCATCACATTATTCCAACCTTATTAATATCAAAAAGTAGGTATAGGAATAGGAATAGGAATGAGACCCGTTTTATTGGGAATTCGATATACCTGTCCCAATGGGACAGAGGATTCCCAACATAACTGGGTATCAGGGATGGAGTCGGGGACAGGTAACGTGATTTATCGATCTGTCACGTTTTCGTATATTAAATATTATATATATATATATATATATATATTGAAGTATATAATATTTATATATCAGTTATTCGTATTTCAGTTTAAATGACTATTTTATTTAAATATATGATAATTGTATGTATCTATTTGGATTAGTTGAATGACTTAAGGGTCATTTACCAAACGATACGAATCATGGTTCGGGTCAAAATTTATTAGATAATATGTTTGTTGAATGATTAATCGAGAAGGCAGTCAACTTATGAGAAATGCGAGAATGGTCAGATCATGTGGTTTACACTTTAAAACACATGTAGAAGAACGAAGACCAGTCAACACGACTAGAGTAGTGAAACTTGCACTAAGTGATTCTTCTAGACGTGTTGTAATTCACATGTAATTTGACCGTTCTCATATTTTTTAACCCAAAAATTTGACCCATTCACATGCGAACCCTAACCGTAAAGTTTATTGTAAAGCACTTTCAAGCATATCTATTTGGCACTTCAAATACTATATCTTAATAGTTTCACTAATAGACAACCTCTGAATCGTTAATAGTTGAATCTTGTTTGACAAAATAAAAAATCTGCCTCTTAATTGTTAATCCTTAACCATTCAACACCCTAATTTCATTATAAACAATTATATTTTATTTTATTTTACACTGTATCATAAGAGCCTTTTAATCATTCTGTACCAAACCATTTAACAACAGCCAAACAATATCACATCCAAGATATTGAAAGTAGGTTATGTAAATTAAAAAAACCAGACAAAATAACAAGTAGCAGTGGGGATGGTTATATAGCAAATAAGCAGATATCATTCAGGCTAAGGACCATCAAAATTGTATTCTCAGATAATTTCTAACAAAATATTGTTCATCAACATGCAAACCAAACACTAACAAATAAGATAATTATGATCAAAATATCCAGCAATTCGAGCTTCATTTCCTGCCACAAATCTTGAAAGCCTGTCGGTTCTTCTTCTTTGCACCCGACTTTGAGACCTTAAGGCTTCGGTTCACTGCGCTCAACCTAGCCAGAGCAGCCTTCTTCAAATCCGGCCTGTAATGGTTATCTGCAACCTGATCAAACCACAATCAAATCATCAATATCCCCAAAGTCGATAACAAACCAAAAATCATGAAAAAAGCAGACAATTGCACACCCTTGTTACAAAATAAACAATAGGATTCTACGCTATCTCTATCATCAGAAGAAGATTCATTTGTTTTAGATATACATATATATATACACACACACACCCCCTCAAGTAACCCCCAAACTAATGTGATAATGTCATGTGCAGGGCGCAAGCAATTTAACTTTAGTTATAGATTCAAGTAAGAAATTAACGAAACACAATTGCACAAACTCAGGGAACAGTCGCAATGTGCAGGACGCATCAATCAACGTCGAACACAACATTTTCAGACCACATACAACCCCACCAAAATAAATCACAATAGGGTAATTGGGTTGTATTAGACTGGGTTTCATGTCAATCCGGTAAGAAAATCCTAAATAACATCATGTAAATTTTCAATTCCGGCTCTTGGTAATTTTAAGTGTATTTTTTTCTCCAAAATAAAGGCCAAGCTCTTCTAGACATATGCAAAAACTTCTAATCCTTGCTAAAGACTAAAATGTCACGTTGGAACTATACATTCAACATTTTCGCTACTATTTTTACATTCTTTATCCAAAAAAACCACATCTTTTTCAAGTTCTCCATCTCTAGAATGGTATACAATGTGTATCTCTAGATGATCTATACATTTTCTAGATAGGAGCCTAAGCCTTCCTCCATTCCCTTCTAATTCCTTGCGGGTTGGAAGAAAAGACAAAAAAAATACAGAAGCCAAATACAATCTGTTGTTATTTTGGTCAGAAGGTTGTAACAAGCCAATTCTAATCCAAAATGTAAGATGTAAAAACAAAACCACCCAAGGACAAATTATATTGAACATAAGAAAACGCAATCTAGTGTTATTCTACTTGGTCTCGGTTCTCTTGGTATAAAACCAACCCAATTTGTAACCTATATCATACACATGGCAGATTGTAGAACTAGGAAGTCCAAATCTTTTCAAATCTACATAAATCCACTTTATACAAACAAAAAACAACAAACAGCAAACATTTATGCAGGAAAGTTTGCACATTTCAAAACATTTAGCAATGTTAGATGTAATACCTGATTTGAAACAGCCTTTGCCATGCGGTAGAACTCCTTCTTCATAATGGATTTGTTAAGCAAACTTGCAGGCTTCCCCTGTTTCTTGGTCTTAGTCGTTGCAAGCAACACAGCCTGATCCTTACCAGCCGGCTGGATGGTTACCGTCTTCTTGTTAGCCAGTCCTACAAGCAATTAGAAACAAACATGAACATATTGACAAAGTATTGTAAAATAGCAATAACACTGACCAACAATATCAACTTTTTCAAAGATGTTCAAATACACATATCAAAATGACAAAGGGTCGTTGCATTTCTTCAAACAAAACGAAATTCAGAATCAAAAATCCCAAAAACTTGTAGCTACCCAATCCAAAAGGAAGAAATCCGTTCGATTTTGATTCATGGTGGAACATATTCATATACTGTTTACCTAAACGTAATAAACTATACGGATTGCCAAAATAAAAACTTTCTACCAAAATCTATCGCTACATGAAAGCTACAAGCGGAACCCTAACATATAAACTGTAAAATCGAACGAAGAATAAAGTAATGACGAACTGCCAAGCTTGATGATTACCAGAGTGTTTGTACGAGTTGAGATTGTAGAGATTATTAGGCTCTTTGCTGAACTGAACGCTTTGAGTTCCATTACCGAACTCCTTAACGAGAAACGAGTTGTTCTTCTTTACGATCTCCCATATCAGCTGCCCTGGTACTGTCGCCATTACCCCTACAGCTTCACTGTAAAAATCAGATTCAACAACAATCATCATACAAAAGAAAACACACACTAAAATGCACATAGTTCACCGGAGTTCAATTTGAGATCACCTACCGTATAGTGTTTTGCTCCGGCGGCCGTTTTCGCTGGAAGAGTTCTTGAAGGAAGAAGAAAGAGACGGACTTCGTGTATATATATATATATATGCCGGTATTCGAAACCCTAGCCCCAATATTTAGAATCATAACTTAAATTTAGACCCTCATCTTTTGGACATTTACAATTTAACCCCTTTTATATTTCGATAATTCAATTTAACCCCACAGTGGGCTTCTTTTTATTTAAACACCATTCTTGGACTGGGCTAAGCCCATGGGCTTCAAAACCTGAAAGTATTTTTGTAAATTATGAGTAAATTACGATTTTAGTCCCTATAGTTTAGAAATTATAATTTTTATCCTTATAGTTTACAATTTATTGCTATTTTCAGCCCTAAGTACAAAGGATGAAAAATAAAAGAAAATTTAAACTACAGGGACCAAAACAGCAATAAATTATAAATCATAAAGACAAAAATAATAATGAATTATAAACTACTAGAAGGGTGCTCGCATAATATAACGAGATATATTTCAATTCTAATGTTTCGTTTTATTATTTATTTATACCGATATAATACGTTTTTAGTGGTTTTGAGAAAATGATAATGTTTTTATTTTTGAATAAAATATAAATTTAATGATATTATAAAAGTTTGGAAAAAGAATGTCGATATTAATATCAAATTTAATATTTAAAGTTCTCGTTTTTTGTGTAATTTCTTTAATTCTATATTTTATTTATAATTTTATTTAGGTTTAATAACGAAATTATTTATTTATCATTTAATAATAGAATTTTTATAACGATAATAATTAAGTATTTTGTTACAACTAATGATTATCTTGATCATATTTTAGACTTTTTATATTCAAAATGAGATTTATATCCCGTATTTGATTATGTTTATCTATAGTTAGTTACACAAATTAAAAAACGAAGTTTAATAAGCTGTACAGTTTATTGTGATCTTGAATTTTAAGTAATGTGTATCAATAAACAGTATTTTATGCATAAAAAATGGTTTTTTAGAGTTTTTGTCATGTTTTTTTGTAATACAATATAGATAGAGACGAAAATCATAACATCTAAACCACAGGGATGAAAATCATAACATTTTACAAACCATAGGGACGAAAAATAATCCACTCTTCATTCAAATTTTCTAAAGGACAAATAAACTCACATATTTATGTTGTATTATGTCTGAATTAAAATTCTAAATAACGTGAACCTCATCAAACCCATGTATTTATGTTTTTTTTAATGAAATTCAATAATCTCAGTTAAATCATGACTTCTAATATAAATATCTGAAGAAAAACTAAAATAGCAGATCAAGTGTGGGACTGATAGTTAACATGGTTGAACATAAGAGAGCTGGAGAGGTTGAGGGTAAACAGTTTTCCTAATGGTTAATGCAGCGGACCTGTTTTAACACTGATGGTGTTAGATTTGTCATGAACCGTAAGAAAATGTGTCTTGTAGCGTTGACTTGTGGTTTCTTGGCTATTTTATGAAGAAAAAAAAAATCGCCTGACAGCTATTAGAATCCCGTTTACACTAATAAACCATGGTTCAAAAATGCCGTTAGGTGACATAACTTGAATCTCATCAGTTTATTTTTCAAAAAAGTCCTTAAAAAAGGGTTTTAACAGATATACAGAAGAAATCGTCTATAAACAATTTTACTATACCAAAGGGTCTTTTGCCTAACAATATGCGAGTCTTTAGCCTCCTAGGAAATCAGTGGTTCAAATATTATATTTGTTTTATTTGTCGTATATAAATATTATATAATTAAAAAATTGCTCTAAAATATATGATTTAATAATTTATTTCCATTTTGACAGAATCCTACATATCATAAGAACACAATATGCTCAGGAATTGATTCCTTTTCAGCATCCTAATAACAAACAACAATTCTCAGCTACAACTATATATACACACAGGGATTTCCTGTTTCCCGATTGATCGTTGATCGTTATAGATGATCGTTGATCATTGATCGATGGTCTACACGCATCCTTGTTCCGACATGCTGCTAGCGATGGTCAGAAACGCGGAGATGACGGCCCCATGAACCAAAGCCCTGAGATACGCGATGGAAGAAGAAAGTTGGCATCGAATTAACGGAAGGCGTAAAACGTTCATTGGTTAAGGATATCTTACTCGGGACTTTCTTTCTGAAAACCGAATTCAACTGCAGCTTTTAGAGCTCGTTGGTACGTCTGTTTCATTGCTTCCTGCCATTATAAAGGTATACAAAGCCTCGTTTTCAGCACTCGAAGAATATAGCATCTGCGTTTAGGATGCGTGACAGGATGGGCGAGAGGGCCAAATAATGAGACAATTCAAACTCATACAGTCGGTCCTAAGATTTACGTTAAGAAACTTCCCAATAATGGAAACATTGCGGTTTTCATGGGATAAATCACAAAACGGTAATTTTTCATTGGTACGGAATGCAGAATTTCGTTGCTTACCTGTAGTTTAGACTCGAAATCCTCGGGTGCCCAGTTCAAATTGTACTCTTTTAGCTCAAGCTCACCGGCAACAACCTGAAGCGTATCATACGAGAGAAATGATGATAAAATAATGGTGACTTTAGATAGGATCGTCGATTGTAAAGATGTAGGCATACCCCTCCAGTACCGGCAGCTATGGAAGGGGCGATTAGAACATTCGCCCCCTTCAAAACATCCATTGCTTCAGGGGTACATGGCATGTTCGAACCTAAAAGACGTCCACAAAATAAGTGTCGAATTTCAAAAGTGTCTTGGTTTCCAATTCTACCCTTCATTATAAGATGGAAGAAATTCATTACTCTTTTTGTTATTAAGGGTGCGTTTGGAACAGAACAGAACAAGTATCACTTGTTGCCTGTTTCACGTTTGGTATGACTTTTATGTGGAACAGACGGGAACATAGTGGCACAGGTGGGTTCCATCCCCACCCCATGAAAAAACATGGAACAAGCATATATTTTACTAATATACCCTCAAAATAAAACTTAATTCTCTTCTAAAACATCAAATACGTCTCTTAACTTTACATTTTATCCATTCTTTAAATTTTATTTACTGAATTTTATCCTCTTTGAACTTTCACTTTACCGTCCTCAAAATATTATTTTTATACATTTTCTATATTTTGGTTAATTTATGTAATTTGTTAAATATTAATAATAATAAAATAATATAGAAAAAGGCACAAAATAAAAATTCGAAACTAATAAACTTCATATTTTGGTTAATCGTCTTTGACAAAAACTTTCCAATGATATCTTTTGTTATAAAAACACATTTGTTTTATTATAATTTAATAAATTACATAAATTAATCAAAATATAGAAAAGATATAAACAACTCATCAGGAGTAAATTGGTCATTTTACCAATCCAGTCCTATTTGCCAAACGCTGAACAACGGTCCTATACGGTATTGTCTTGTTGGGTACCAAACGCACCCTAAAGGGTATAATTGTCATTTAGTTCATTAAAAACCGTGATAATTACACATTTTTAGAACTGTATGTCTTGTTCATTATGGAAGTAATAATTATGGATAGTTGAAAGAAGTAGCAAAACAAGAATCACCCACCTTCAACAAGTATACGGCAACCCGAATTAACCAAGCTAATGGCATCGGAATGATCGATTTCGTTTTGTGAAGCACAAGGAAAAGCGACATCGCACCTCTCGTTCCATGGCTTTGCTTCATCGTAGTACTTAGCACGAGCATAAGTCTTTGAATAATCTCTGGAGATTCGATAAACATTCTTGATTAAATAAAGAACGACGAGACTAATAACGTTTTTTCAAAAGGAAACACGAACCTTAAAGTCCTATGTTGTGCTTTGATGTCTCTAAGGAACGATAGTTTCATGAAATCGAATCCGTCCTCATCCACCAAGTAACCTTTTGAATCTGTAGAAATTTGTTGATACGGGTTATTCAATTGCTGAACGATTGAATTATTTACGTCAATTTTTATGAAATAAGGAAATTTATGCAATTGAAGGAATAATTCAAAATCTAACATTTCCCTTGTTTAATCTGTCAAGGTGCGTTTGGTATGCAGACGGGACAGGACTAGCGAGACTGGGTAGGCGGGTGAAAGAATTCTGGTAGGTTTTAGGGTTTTCAATTTGACATGGGTAGTTTAGGGGTTGTTTAGTTCTTCTCCATTCAGGGGTTGTTTGGCTGGTTTTCCATCAAGTCTTGTATGGATAAAGATGTCTGTGTGCATTAATCTGCTTGTATAGATTGGAAGGTTTTTGTTTAGGATGGTTTTTTCATAGATGAAAAGAGCATGTTTTCAATTCGGAGGGGCGGGTTTGGAAAAACTTGGCTTTCTGTGTAAAGATCTGTCTAGAAGCTTACTGAAGCCACTCTCTATATTATTAAGCCACTACCACACAATCATGTATAGCTGACCGAATAAGCTGTAAGCCCCATTAAACCCATTAGGCTGCTAACAAACAGGCTCTAAGTCCAATATAGATAAAGTTGTCTGTGTAGATTAATCAGTTTGTATAAATTAGGAAGATGTTTATTTGGGGAGGTTTTTTTCATAGATGAAATAAGCGTGTTTTTTAATTGGGATGAGCAGAATTGGAAAAAACTTGGCTTTCGGCATAAAGCTCTCCCTTAGAAGCTTACTTAATAAGCAACTTTCTATATCCTTAAGCCACTAACAAACAGTCATGTGCAGCCGACCAAATAAGTTGCGAGTCCCACTAAGCTTATTAAGCTGCTAACAAATAGGCCCCTAGTAATTTACCAATCTTGTCCCATCTCCCTATTTTTGTTCCACTTGTTTTGGTGGTCTCAATTCCATCATGTCCCAGTCTAATGTCATACCAAACATGGGACAATAAGTTTTGGTTTTGTTCTGTCATGTCTATCCTGTCAAAGTTGAACTTTACCTGACACCGTGATGGGTAGAGCACCGTATGCAATAAGCTTCTCCAAGACATGCATTGCTATCTTTCCGGACCCACTAACCACGCATCTGAAAACAAAAAATCGACATTAACTATTAAAATTATCGCTATCTTGCATACTAAAGATACCGACTAGACGTCATTATTTCTTAAAATTTGATCTATAAAATTTGTTTGATTGTCAAATATTGTGCAATAAAAACCAAAGGGTAAAATAGTCATTTTCAGCATTAAGACCGTTTATTCAGCACAACAATTTATCTAATATCATATAGACAGATTTATCAATAGACAAACCTCATCCATACAGGACTTAATGAAAAAGAAACCGAACAGCCTCTTAGTTAGGTGTCAAACCTTAGTCCTTTAAGTTCTTTGTTCATGTCTGCAAGTATAAGTTGTGCAAAGAAAACCTGTAGAAAAAGCAATTGGATCTTTTAAACCTTTTCTTTCATAAATGAATCAAAATTGCAAAAGCTCGGAAGGAGTACCAGCCCGTAACCAGTAGCTTCGGTGCGTAAGCTGGAACCGGACCAGTTAAGCCTCGGGCCAGTAAAACTTCCCTGCGTAAAGATATTACGAAAATATGAGATCATACAGAAGAGTCGAACAAATTCCAAATTCTCTCTCTATATATGTAAATGTATATATATATATATAGAGGGAGAGAGAGAGAGAGTCCCCTTCTTTTACAAACCCCAATAATTTGTTCAAACTTACAAACACATGTGAAAATGCAGTGTTTATACAATGTTGTTTCATATGTGAAATGTTCATGATTGTTGGAAGACAGTCATAAACGTTTCACTTATGAAACAACACAACACTCAATTTTCACACATATTGTTTCATATGTGAAACAATGCATGAAAATTGGTTTGTAGGTTTGTAAGATTTATTGAGTTTGTAAATGATTATCCATCTCTCTCTCTCTCTCTCTCTATATATATATATATATATATATA